AGGCGCAGAAGGTGGGGGGGGGGGGGGGAGATAGGAGATACCCCCCCACAGCGGTGGGGGGCACCCAGGGGTGAGCCCCAGCACCCTGGGCATGCGGGCGACCCATGTCTCCCATGCAATCGGTGCACCCCACGCACCCCGTGCATCCGTGCAACCCCTGCACCCCGTGCAACCCATGTCTCCCATGCAATCTGTGTACCCCACGCACCCCGTGCATCCATGCAACCCTGCACCCCGTGCAACCCATGTCTCCCATGCAATCGGTGCACCCCACGCACGCTGTGCATCCATGCAACCCCTGCACCCCGTGCAACCCATGTATCCTGTGCGCCCCGTGCACCCCATGCAACCCATCACCCTGTGTGCCCCGTGCAATCTGTGCAGCCCGTGCAGCCCGTGCACCCCATGCATGCATGCAACCCATGTGCCCCATGCGACCCATGTATCCCATGCACTCCATGCATGCCGTGCAATCTGTGCACCCCATGCAACCCATGCACCCCATGCACCTCATGCACCCCATGCATCCATGCAACCCGAGCCCCGTGGGGCCTGTGCAACCCATGTATCCCATGCTCCTCATGCACCTCATGCACCCCACGCACCCCATGCACTCCGTGCACCCTATGCAACCCATCACCCTGTGTGCCCCATGCAATCTGTGCATCCCATGCGCTCCATGCACCTCGTGCACCCCATGCACCCCATGCAACCCACGCACCCCGTGCACCTCATGCACCCTTTGCAGCCCATGCACCCTGTGCACCCCATGCAACCTATGCACTCCATGCACCCCACGTGCCCCATGCACCCCACGCGCCCATGCCAGGGGCTGCATCACCACCGCCCCCCCCCCGGCGTGGGGGTCCCCTATGGCTGGGGGGGTCTCACGGGGGTGCAGGAAAGGTCCCACGTCCCGTGGGGCCAGCGTGGAGTCGGCACCGTGGGCACGGAGTGCGTGTGGGCGCGCGTTTCCACCGCCCTCTCCCGGCTGAGCTCGGGAATCCGGCACGCGTGTGCGCACACGAGGGCCCGTGCGTGTGCATGCGTGCACGTGCCTGTGCGCACGGCGTATTCATGTGCATTTTCACGTGAACACGCGTGTGCACGGGTGCGTGTTCATGTGCAGGGGTTCGGCAAGCATGTGCAGGCGTCCACACGTGGGGGTGTGTGCACGTGTGCACGCACGCGTGCATGCACACGTGCACACGCGTGTGCCCCCGCAAGGGCTGCGAGCCGCTGAGCTCTGCTTGAAGCCCCGTAAATCTCTCCCCCAAGCAAAGAAATAAATGTATGTGCCCATACGTGCGTGCCCAGATGTACGCCCATGTGTGAATACGTGCGCGTGCGTGCCCGTACCCCGCGCGCGCGCGAGCATCGGCGCGCCCCGGCGCCCGGCTCTCACCACGGAGATGTTGGCCAGCCCCATGGCCGGCGTGGCGCCGGCGTTGCAGACCACCTCCTGGCCCTGGCAGACCGCCATGGCGGCGATGAGGCTGGCGGGCCGCGTGGCCGCCTTCACGTCGGTGAGCCCCTTGCCCCACGCCGCCGCCGCCACCAGCCAGAAGAAGGCGAAGCAAACGGTGATGCAAAAATCCTGTCGGGATGGGGACACCGGGCTCAGCCCCGGTGCTGGCGGGGAGCGGGGCAGGATCCGTCCCGTCCCCCCCGAGGGGTGCAGCCGCCTTACCGCGAAGGGGAGCTTCTTATTTTCGCCGTAGAGGGAATGAAAGCGCAGGTAAAGCACCAGAGCCGCCATGGCGTAGAGGAAGGAGAAGACCCCCAGGGTCACAAAAAATTCGGCGGGAGCGGAGAAATCGCCGACGAGGTGAAGGGTGCGGGATTCCGGCTCCTCCCCGCAGTCCGGCATCTCGAAGGGGATCTGGTATAACCTGGGATAGCGGGAGCGGGGATGGCGGGTGGCCCCGGGAATGGAGGGGACGATGGGGACGGCTTTGCACCGCTGGGGTGGTCTCCCGGGAGGGAGGGCACGGACCCGCTGCCGGGACGGAACCTGGAGCCTTTGCCGTGGTCCGCTGCCCCGGCACGGTGCCAGCGGCCGAGGGAAGGGGTTAAAACCGTGGCTCACGGCTGGCCCGGCTCCATCCCGGCCTTCCCCGATTAACGAGGATCCCCCCGGATGGCGTCAGGAACCGGAGCCGGGCGATGCCTGGCGGTGCTGGGGGGTGCAGAGTCCCCAGCCGGACGCGGCACCTCCCGGTCCGCAGGGAGCGTGGCCGCGGTCCCACGGGGGTCCCGGCAGCGGGGATGGGGTTTAACCCCACCCCAGCACCCCACGTCCCCCCCGCAGCTCGCTGCGGAGCCACGCCAGGCACCGGGCCGCGTTCCTGGGGGGGTGCGGGCTCAGTGCCCCCCTCACCTGAAGGGGTACCCGAATTGGACAGAAATGGCGCTCATCTCTTTGGTTTCGCCGTCGCATCTCACCGTCGCCCCGGTCTCGCCGCTGAAGGAGCCGCAGGCCCCGAAGGCGAAGATGGCGAAGAGCTGCGGGAAAGGAGGGGGGAGGGAGGCTCGGGACCCCGGGGACCCCCCCACCCTGGGGTGGGATGCACCCAACCCGCCCCGCTCCGGCTTTGCACCCCTCGGCGCTGAGTCACGGCGGGGGCGGCGGGGGGGGCGCGAAAAAAGGCTGCCCCTGCCCCCCCGACGCTGCCGGCCTCTGGCGCCGGCGCCGGGGCTGCCGCCGGCACCGGGATTTGCGGCCGGGGGGGTGAAATGCGGCAGCGGGGAGGGGCGATAATTCCGGGGGGGGGGCAGCAAAATTAATTCATTTAATCCTTCTTAATTTTAGGCACGGTGCTGAGTGCCGGAGCGGGTTTCCAGCAAGCCGGGAGCATCCCCACGGTGGGACCCCATCGGTCCCCCTTCCGCCGGAGCCACCGCTGCCATTTCCCGTTCCTCGGCGCTGAGCCGCTCTCGTCTCCGGCGGAGGGTGCCGGGAAAACGCGATTCCCAAATAGTTTTCTGGCAACTCATCCCGGCTGAGCTCGCGGCTTCCCGGGTGAAGGGGGGAAGCGGAATGGGCAGGCCTGACGCCGTGGGGATGGGCAGGCCCGTGTACGGCACCGACGGTTGAAGCAGAAGCGTTGGCGGCCGCGCCGGGGATTTCCCACCCGCTTTCAGTTTTGGGGTGTCTGTGTGCGCAGGGCCTGATCCTGCACAGCGGCCCCAGCGCCTCCCCGGCTGGGATTATCCAAAGCAAAGAGCCGCGGGATGGGGGGAAAAGCCCCCTTGATCCGGCTCCTCCGGGTGGGAGATGCCCAAACGGGTCCGGCCTCGCAGCCCGGGGCTGAGCTCCCACCCCGTGCCTCAGTTTCCCCAGCGCCGGCACCGGGGCGTGGGGCGGGCTGGGAGCCCCCCGGCCACGGCGAGGCCGTGCGGCAGAAATGCCGCCCTGAAATCCAATCCCGGAGCCATTCATAGCACGGCCGGGCCAGGGCCGCAGGCGCTTGGCTCCCCCCGTCCT